TGAACAAAAGTCTTGGTCTAGAACGGAGAATGCAGTTAACCGTCATAAAAACACCCTTGCAGTTAAATTCGAAAAACTTCTTTTACAGTCTTCCAGTTCAAGTAGTTCAAAAAATCTTCCCATTGTAAACATCAAGCCAATAGTTAATATTTCTAATGTTAGTCTTTCAGAAGAACAAGAGAGAATTCTAAAATATAATTTTAACTTCTCACAAACCTGTAAACCCTCGATTCCAAAGATTTTGGCTCCTATCGAAAAAGCTTTCAAGTTCAGTAAAGTTTCAGATTCACAGAAAGAAATGATTAGGCATCTTATCGCTCATAATGTGAAATTCAATAATAAAACCTTTGAAACCAAATCTAACTGCGAGAGAAAGAGCTACAATGCGCGAGATTCATTCTAACCCGGATATTGTCGTTTCAAAGGCCGACAAAGGTGGCCAGATAGTCGTCATGGATAAGAACACTTACATCGATGGTGTCACTAAACTCTTAAACGAAGGACCATATAATCCGATCCCTAAAGATCCTTCACCTTCGGACTTATCCAAAATAAAAACTGCGATCAAATCTTCGCAAATCATTTCAAGCAACTTAAAACGTTCGCTTATCCCATCTGTTGCGAATTGTGCCAGATTATATGCCCTTCCCAAAATTCATAAAAGTGGTATTCCTTTCCGCCCTATTGTATCAAATTTAGGTACTGCCTCGTATCCATTAGCTAAATATTTAGTTTCTAGATTTTCCACTCTATTAGACAATAACATTTACACCATAAAAATTCAATAGAGTTTGTAAAAAAGGTTAAAAACATTTCTCCTCGTAATTTACTCATGGTTTCTTTTGATGTAAAATCATTATTCACCAATGTCCCAGTGGAGGGTGCATTAAGATGTCTAGAAACCAGACTTCGCGAATTTCATTTCTCTTGCATCGAAATTGATGAGCTAATTTCTCTCACTCAACTCTGTTTGAAACAAACACATTTTTGTTTTCCAAAATAAATATTACAAGCAAACTGAGGGATTTGCCATGGGAAGCCCATCCTGGCTGATATCTACATGCATTATTATGAATCAAAATTGTTTGAAACTTTAAACTTCCCGGCATGGTTCCGCTACCTAGACGATACTTTTACCCTGTTTGAAGGTAATAAAGATGATTAAAATAAAGTTCTTTCAACAATGAATTCTATTGATCCTGCTATTCAGTTCACTTTTGAACTTGAGACTTGCAATTCTCTTCCGTTTCTCGACATTCTGGTCACACGTAACACATCCAACTTCAGTACTACAGTTTATCGTAAACCTTCATCGGTTTGCCTTCCACCACACTTTAAAATCATGTCATCCGACTAAACAAAAGTTAGCTTCATTTTATTCCTATGTTTTCCGTGCTCTTCAAGTTTGCTCCTCCAAACTAGCCCTTGATGAAGAACTAAATTATTTAAAAGCAATAGCTATTGACAGGGGCTTTTCACCCAACATTATTAATCAAGCAGTTAAAAAATTCTCATCTCAACACACTAAAAGCCACACTCTTATTTTAGGAGATTATAAAAATTCTGTTGTCATTCCCTTCTTTCCATCAATTAGCTATAAAGTTGCACATATTTTGCAGAAATTTAACTTTCGGGTTGTTTACTCTCCCATCAATAAAAATTCCAACTTCTATACTCAAGGACCCCATTCCGGATATGAATTCCTGGGGTATTTATAGGATTCCTTGCCAGTGCGGTTTAATTTACATTGGCCAAACTAAGAGAGCCTTAAAATTTCGCGTCAAAGAACATGAGGCATATGTTAGAAAAAAGGAAACACAGAAGTCTTCTGTTGCTCAACATTGTTGGTCCGAAAATCACACTTTCAATTTTTCTGCTGCCAAAATTATTCAAAAAACATCTTCCATTGGAGAACTGGATTTTTCTAGAGGCATTTCACATTCATAAAATCTTTCTGTTCTAGTTAACGATCCTAATTCCAATCCAAATTTGCCTTCGGCTTTTAGAGAAATTATGTTTTAGTTCTGGTTTCGCCAACAGATGGCGCCACTTGCTTATTCTTGTCCAGGCTTTCTTACCTTATCTAAACATTATTTCCTATCTTGTTCATTTGCGGTTTTGCAGCTGAAGATGATGGTTCGGTAAAACCATCGAAACTAGTCCTGTGAAAATTTTGTAAATTAACGCTGATTTTTGTTGTTTGCCTTCTGAATTAGTATTTATTCGGCGTGTTATTGTGTCTTAAAGATAAGTTCTGACTCCAAACACAAGCTCCCATTCCTCAATACGACAATGATTTTGCTATCAACACTGATCAAACAGGTAAGTCAAGAATTCTTATTTGCCTACCTCAAATGAAATACTCTGTTTAACAGCACATATAATAAATTTACATACATATATTCTCTTTCTAAGTTGCCAGTACCAGTCAACATATAAAAACCCTGGAATATTTAGGGGTAAAAACAGTTTTGTAAAAAGAAAGGATATGAACAAAGTAACCCACGTATATGCAGCACAATATGCTATGAACGTTTGTGGAAAGCTATTGCCAAAAGGTTACACATGCTTACAAGAGAATACTGCCTCTTTTGAACCACGGATTCAAAAAATCTGATGTGTGCACCACATGACTTCCTTGTAGAAAATATTAAATTATATGCATTTTTTCTTGCATTTCATTTAAACTAATTGGATTGAATTAAATTTACTTTGTTGATAGCGCATAAACCACAATAGAATAAATGCACTCTTTAAAATTCACTATATTTGTTTAGCATAGCGACACCCTGGTCCTAAGCTCACTTAACAGCGCTACATTTCAAACATTTTTTAACTCAGAATGTACAAAATTTATATCATCTTAAGAATTATCTAATCATTGCCCACATGTTCTATTCAAATACTATAATAAATCTAAAATGATGCATAAAAGAAATTAAGCAAAGAACAACAACAAAAACAAACAAAAGAAAACAAAAAAGGATACAGTTTTTCACAATAAATTAATTCAATTCTCACTTTGCGACAAAGCAACAATACATAAAAACTCAAAATGTCTGTATTGAAAATTATGAAGTAAATCTTAAATACTTATTTCCTCCAATAAATTCCAGAATGGATTAAGCATGATTTAATTCACCATGATAAAAGAAGGTGTTATCTTTGTTATTGTGAAGCTTACTTTCTCTAGATTGGCAACAAATCTACTATTCTGTTGTTTCAAATGTAAACAAGCAATGGCAGACATGGCAAAAATTATTAGGCTTAGCAGCACTTAAACAACTTTTAAATTGTAGATAATTCTAAAAATATTACATAAATATTTACTAAAGGCAAAAAATCCTTAAACAGAAGATAAGAACAGCATAATTCAATCATTTTTAAAGCAAAAAATGCACAATTTACAAACATATAAAAATAAAGAAACTGAAATCACTGAGTGAAGTAACAGAGTAGATGCATATATATACATATATTTATATACTTTTGGTGTGGCCGATTGCAACCAGAACACGAGGTACACATCTACATGTTATAGCAGTCCTATATACAAAATTTAAACATTCTGAGGCTACTCGTTTTTGAGTTATGCGAGATAGATATGTACGTATGCACAGACGCCAGGAAAAATTCTCTTTAAAATTCATTTTAAATTAGTTTTACAATTTTTTTGGGGGAAAAGAGTCCTTTATTCTGTCCTTACGAACAGATGTCAAGCAGAAACATTGTTAAGTTGCATTTAATAGTGGTGAAAATGGATATTTGCGTTGAAATATGATGCCCCTGAAACTTTTTGCGGTTACAATACTCCCTTTTTACTTCGTACAAGGAAGTAAAAACAGTAGATGAATATGCAGCAAAATACAAGAATGTTATCATCACTTCTTCAAAATCTGGAAAACGTACAACGACGTTGTACACAAAATATTTAACGCATGTGATGAAGCTGTGCATACAAGAGAACAAATTCCTTCTGCTGATTAACTTGTGGGGAGGACAAACAAATATTCAATTATATAACAAGATCTTCCAAGACGAAGAAGGATTTCCAATGTGTCAACTATGCAACAACTATGGTCAATACATTAAAGTTTTGCTTTAAAATGTCTTTGCAAAAACTTCTTTTATGAGTATATAGAATGTTATTTTCAGAGAATTTTCCATATTTATAATGATATTTTGATCTCCAGCGCAATTAAAACATTTTTATAATTCTCAGGAACATCCAATAAATTTACATTCACTTTTTCCAAAATTTAATACAAAATATTTCCTGCCAATGTAACGGTAAAAGTGGTACTGTGCTGTTGCGAATTATATAGCAATAAATTAAGTCTCTGCTTAATTACTTTGCTATGTTTCTAATAAATATATAAATGTTTGTTTCTAGTCAATGTCTAGTGGAATGAGATGTTAGGTTACCCAATGAAACTAAAAATTCAAGTCTGTTTTACTAGTCTATTAAATAATTAACAATATAATTTTGAAATAAAAATTACAAATAACACTAATTTTAAATATAAAATGTCATTTCATCTTAGCAAACCTTTTATGTGATTCTGTACAGGTATCAAAACAAAATACAGAAGATTGTTACAGTACAAATCAAAACATTTTGCATTCATTCCCATTAATACCGAAGCAGCAATTATTTGCATTCAGATAAAAAGAAAAAGTGAAATTAACATAAATAAATCATTTTGATTGTCCTCTCTAAACAATCTTCTTTGGTTTTAAATATAACAAATAACTTGTAATATTTTTGAAGCTATCAGCTTTCAAGTTGATTAAAAACAGATATTATATTACAGTTTTTCCATCTTTTCAAATTATATGCAAATAATGCAACAAAGCATCCATTCTGTAAATAACATTTATTATTCACTCAAATTTTTGGCATTTGAGCTAATATATTACGACCAAAAATTTTAAATAAAAGAAATATTTATAATAGCTCTAATTAATGCAGTTCTTTATCTGGAAAAAAATGTATTTACCTAAAGTTCCTCGAGACTGACTAAAACGCTTGATAAGAAGTCTCACACTGTTGCCTCCTTTCCTGATCAATTCTATGGCGTCAGCATGAGTCATATTCTTGGTGGAAATGCCATTAATTTCAATAATTTGATCACCAACCTGAGGAAATTATTACATTAACAGTTATTAAAAATGGAAACATATACCCTTTAAATTGCTACATACTTCTTGTTCTTCAAAAAAATTATTATGCAGTATTAGCTGATCTATTTATCACTAATAGCTAGGTGCAAAATGATTTAATGATGTTTAGGAAAAAGGAACATCATAAAGTGCCAATTCTGATTTTATCCATGGTATTAATGTAAATAAGTAAGTTTTATATATTATATTATTCAGTAATCATTTTAAAGAAGGAGAAAAATGTTTAATGCAAGTTTTTTATACAGTATGCTTGTTCATAAATTATAATAAATTACCATTAAATCCTTTGCTGACAAAGCCTAAAAAAATTTTACTTCAAAAAAGTTGCAAATCCATTCAAAGGAGAAATGGTAATAATCAAATTTAAGAAAAAAAAAAAAAAAAAAAAAAGAGAAAGAGAGAGAGAGAGAGAGAGAGAAAGAAAGAAAGAAAGAAAAAATCATTACAAAAAGAAATTTACACAGCATAGCACATCATATAATAGCATATCATTTGCAAAAGAAACTATGACCAGTGAATAAACACACTTCCTGCAGCAATGTTAATGCTGTAGCGATGTACTTAAAAATATTCTTGTAAACTGCCTCTAATAGTTTTTATTATTCTTGTTTCAAAACAAAGTGAATGGTGTTTCCTCCCCCTTCTTTAACAATCTTTGAAATTTTTAAGTTATAGTTTGCAGCAATGCCCAATATCAGAATTTAAAAATTAACAGAAATGTAACAATTTACATCTGGTGGTTAGAAAGTTATTTTCCAATCCATATGAAAACACTATGATTGAAATTCTGTAATGACTGGTTTGACTGTAAATCAAAGACAATAGAAAAAAAAAAAAAAAAAATTATTTAGAGATGCAGAGCCATTTGGAAGAACTACGAACCGAACTTCAGACCTCTGGATTTTCGTATCTAAGTACTTTTTTCCCCATTACTATAGACAATCCATTTACTTAATAGTATTTAAATTTTCATATGATTATTAAACTGTACTTGTTACCCATTACTATAGACAATCTATCTAATATTAGTATCTAATTTTCACAGGATTATTAAAGAGATGATTTTATTTCTTTCCATTGTTGACATGCACATAAATATAGTTGGCAATTTATCACGTACTCCTGGCTAATATGGAGGTATAAAAATTTTTAACATCTAGAAAAATACAAAATATAGAGGTTACCCCTTCACAATACTAAAAAATAGCTCTAGGTAGAGCTTCTATTTTTTAGTATTTTGAAGAGCTTCTATTTATTAATATTATTATATTTAATTTGGCAATAAAAATATTTAGCATCATAATAATACATGGTGCGGCACTGAAACAGGCAATTTTGAACCCTGGAAATAGCAAGTTATGTTAGGAATCAGAAAATCGGACTGGTGCCATCTGGACTACAAACCTTCGCCACTGACCCTGATACTGGTGTTCAGTCGAGATGGCATCATGGACTGGTGAACAACGCGCTTTTGTCGTGAAGGTGTTTTACAAGGCCCGGCCAATGCCTACTTCTTGCTCATTACAATCTCACACGTCACGCCCCAGTCCCATCAGCGCATGTTATCAAATTGTGGGTACAAAACTTTGAGAAAACGGTTGATATGGTGAAAAAGAGGGGTGGAAATGCAAAATACATGTCCACACCATAGAATATTACAAGAGTGGAAGAAGCCTTCAGTTCAGTGGAAGAAGTCCCAGGCGTTCTGTACACAAGCATGCCTGCAGCATGGCATATCGGATCTCAGTGTATGGTGAATATTGGCCCAAGCAGCTGGAATACCACCCATACAAAATGCAGATAGTGCAAAAACTGAATGTGGACAACCTGCCAAAGAGACTACGCTTTTGCCAGGAATTGTTGGAACTCATGAAAGACAACCCAGGCCTGTGCGACAATCTTATCATGAGTGATGAGGCCAATGTTTATCTGTCAGACTTTGTTAACAAGCAAAACTTTAGATACTGGTTATGTGAAAATCCTGAAATGTTTCACAAAAAGCAACTTCACAGTAAAAGAGTGGTAGTGTGGTGAGGCATATCATTATTTGTAATCATCGAGCTTTATTTTTTAAAACAATTACAGCAATGTTACTATGAATACAGAACATTATGCTTATATGTTGAACCATTTCCTAGGACCACAGCTAGCTGATCTTCCTACAACTGCAAACACATTCTTCAAACGAGACGGGACCAATGGCCATACCTCGCAGATTTCCATTAACGTGCTACAGAACATCTTTCCTGGTCATCTGAATTCCTGGTCAAGAATGGGGACATTTCCTGGCCTCCAAGATCCCATGACCTTTCAGCATGTGATTTCTTCCTTTGGGGTCATTTGAAATCTGAGATCTTCCAGTATGACCCACCACACACCATCCAGGAACTGAAGGATCAAATTTGGAAGGAAGTTAATAGAATTTCAGTGCCAATCCTGCAAGATGTGATGACTAACTTCCATAAAAAAAAAAAACTTGGAATATATGTGAAGAAAAATGGGGGCCACCTATGTGATGTCATTTAGACATTTTGAACATTTTTATGCATTTGTTCTGTGCTTGTTCAGAAACATTCCTCATAAATTGCAAGCATTGTATAAATTCGTGTTATATTTCTTTTATATTGCTGCAAATAAATTTGTGTCACTAATGGAGGTTTCAAAATCGACTGTTTCACTACCACACCTTGTACTATAGGGAAGATTAACTTTATAATCTCTACATAAAAATTTAGCACAGGGAAGATTAACTTTATAATCTCTACATAAAAATTTAGCAAAGATTCAATACCTCCAGATCATTTTTTCAACCATAGTTTTTTAACCTTTTGGGGGGTAAAAAAAATTTTATGTCCAAAGGAAAAATTTTACCCAGCTATCTAGGATTTTCTAATATTCAGCTGGACTGCAGTCTCAGGTAGAATGAATATTTAAAATTAACTTATCGCATTTTGCAAAAATTTAAGAATTCAGTAATTTTCCATTAAAGAAAACCATGTACTTTCAGCTCCATATTGATACATTTAGGCTTCTTCTCATGGCTCAATGAATGACTGAAAACAGTGGTTGAGAAGAACAACGAAATTTTCTCCAATTTCATGACAAAATCTTCCAAAAGCTTTGTGAAAGGGAATTGTAGATTATGTCCCTCTTTTTATGTGAATAACTTATTTGATTATGGTAAAGTTTATCAACAAGGCTTATCTAAGAGGAGGAATGCCTTCGTGGAAGACTTTCTAATGGAAACTGGATCATATCCATGTTTAACATTGGGAAAACTATGTAAATCAAAGATACAGCCAGCCCACTTACCTGGGTTCCACACCAGACCCACCAGCATTCAAAAGTCTTTTACTTACTAAACCACTGGTGAGGAACCATTTATTTGAATAAGTTTTAATCAATTACCATAGTTTATTTCATTTATTGCAACATTAAGATGTGATAAAGAATTTGTACATACTTCAGTCACGTAATGATTCTGATAAACTACAGTGTTACATTTCATTTGAAGAAAGCTTTCATTTGTAAAACTCAACATACAGTAATTTCTGACATCCTAAGCAAATGAATAAGCAGTAAAGAAACGAATGCATGATCCAACAAACATTTCAATTCGAACCTCTTTTTTGTCCCATCAGAAATGACGGCTGCACAGCCACTTTTCATATCACATTTTGATTTCTGGTTACTCAAACACTATCTTTGTGAAGAATATCTCTTTTTTACAAGAAACAGAATAGTTGCTATTTCATTTTTTGGCAAACCTTAAGTCACTAAATCCACAGCAACCAAAAAAAAAAAAAAAAAGTAGATGAAATATGTGGCTTTAAAAGTGACAATCATAATGACATTAGGAAAAAATTCATTAGGAAAAAAGCTAGCTGAAACTTTCAACAACTGGGCACCAATGAAATATGCCACAACAAAAAAATTGTGAAGTGATGTACCTTTAATGGAAAAATACCCAAAATTATTATTTCCCTGTTTTGCAAATTGCTTTAGATACATTACAATTCATAATTAAAGAGCAAAACATTGACAAAATAAAAATTTTAATGCATATCTGCATTACTAAAACAATATGCATTTCTACTGAAACTTGACAATTCTTTTAAATAAAGTTACTTAGACTATCACACAATTAAATCATCATTAGAATCTATCAGAACTGAGAAGCTTTGGATAGCATATACCTTTATTTTACCATCTTGTTGAGCAGGACCATTGTCTGCAATCCTCAAAACAAAAAGAGGCATGTTGTGAAATTCTTTGCCACCACGAATACTAAAACCAAAGCCTTTAGTACCACGCTGCAGAATAACAGTGTGATAATCTTCTTGCTCAACAGATGTGTCATCTTCCTAAAGATATATATATAATTTAATGTACAAAAGTGCTGGTATAAAGAAACTGTGAAGAATAAATTTTACAGTTTTAATACATTTTAAAACATAAAATGAATAGCTTATTACACCATTTGCTCCAATAAGTTTTAAACTTCTTCGAAAAACCGTACTCGTAACGCTTCAATTATCTTGCCCTTTAACCTTTTGAACTCATGTAAACGGAAAACCAGAAAATTACATAGGCTTGATACAATCAACTGGCTGGTATAACAAATTCAATAATTAATGACTATTTATTGATAATTGGTAGTGTGATAAATCACAGGGGTATTTTATAGAGGAGGGTTCTGAAAAAGACAATAATTCCCTACTGAGGGGGGGGGATTTCATAGTTTCGGGAAGGGGAATGCAGTCATTATTTAACAATTAAGCATTTAGTTTTACTTAATATAAAAAAACTACTTTTATTCAAAATTTGGTATTTATCAACATTTCCAATACCTTCTTGCTGAATTTATAAAATACATTAAAAAATGCTCTAAATGTAGATAAACTGTATATATATATATATATATATATTTTTTTTTTTTTTTTTTTTTTTTTTTTTTTTTTTTTTTTAAGTTTAGTTTAGTTTTGGAGAGAGCTAGGATGATTGTCTAATTATTTTGAAAAGAGTTCACGTGACACAAAAAAAAAAAAAAAAAAAAAGTTGAGAACTACAGGTTTACAGTAATCTACACTGGTGTGCAAAAATTAAGGACGAAGTCGAAAAATTAGCATATCAGCTGAACGAAGAGGCAGAGCGGACAGAAAGACCAATCAGGAGATTAAGTAAGGTGATGTACGGTAGCACATGCGCAGATATGCAGGTAGACGTAATGGGGGAGTGTCTGAGTAGTATAAAGCATGTTGTCGGTGTAAGATCAGTATTTCTGGCAAAGAGATTGCACGCCGTATAGCAGTTAAAATCACACCGAGTTGTTGCCTCAGCGAGAAATGGCGAATAATCAATCTGTTAGACGACATCTGGATGCTTTTACCCGAGGTCGAATCATTGGGAAGTTGGAGGAAGGCCGCAGTGTGACAAGTGTGGCTGCAGAGTTCGGAATTGCTCACAGCATCGTTTCACGACTTTGGAGACAATTTCAAACTACAGGAACAGCTATCCGGGGGTTTAGTAGTGGTCGTCCACGAGGAACCACACCCGCAGATGACCGGTATATTGCCTTACAGGCCAGAAGAAACAGGCGGCAGACAGCGGGAGAAATCGCTAGACACACGACACAGGCGACTGGACGACCGATATCGCGTTTTACCGTGGCCAGAAGACTGCACGGTGGTGGTCTGTTTGCACGACGCCCTGTACGGTGTGTACCTCTAACGCCTGCCCATCGGAGAAGGCGTTCTCTGTGGTGCCGGGAACACCGGAATTGGAGAGACAATGAATGGGGACGAGTACTCTTTACAGATGAGAGCAGATTCAGTCTGAGTAGCGATTCTCATCGCATACTCATCTGGAGAGAGCGGGGAAGCCGCAATCATCCCTCGAACATCATTGAAAGGGACAGGTATGGAGGTGGCGGTGTTCTCGTTTGGGGAGGCATCATGCTTGGTAGTCGTACAGACCTTCACATCTTCGACGCAGGTTCAGTCAACGGGACCCGTTATTGTAACGAGATTCTTCTTCCATATGTGCGTCTTTTTAGAGGCGCTATGGGTCCGCAGTTCCTTTTCATGGACGACAATGCACCATGTCATCGCACAGTAGCTGCCGAACAGCTCTTAGAGAGTGAGGATATTGAACGTATGGATTGGCCGGCACGATCTCCGGATCTCAATCCCATCGAGCATGTATGGGATTTTCTAGGCAGACGCTTGGCAGCTCGTACCTTACCACCAGTAACGATTCCGGAGCTTCGATTGGCGCTGCAAGACGAATGGGCAGCAATGCCTCAACAACTCATTGACACCCTCATTCTCAGCATGGGCAGACGCTGTGAAACCTGCCTAGCAGTCAGGGGAGATCATATCCCCTATTAAAGACCGGATGTTTCTTGCTGGACACCCATCACAGGGATGTTTCGGCCTTCAGTCGCATTGCGCTCCATGCTACTTTTTCAATAAAGCTTCTTTTTATCCCTCTGATTTCTCTTTTAGTAAGTGTTGCTTACATTACTCATGTCCTTACGTATTGGGGATTTTACGGTATTAAATGTGTTGATTTGGAAAGCTTTTGTACAAAGTTATATTGAAAAAACCGTCTCGTCCTTAATTTTTGCACACCAGTGTATATAATTACAAGTGAATTTTACAATAAAAAATTACACGAAGATCCAAAATTAACTTTTTTCACAATGAAGAGCCAATAAAGTAACGTATGTAGAGTTGTAAAAGAAAGTCAAATTTATAATTCATAACTTCACACTCGTGCTTGTAATTAAAGCAGTGACAAGCAGTTTATAGAAAGATGAATTAGCTACAGTACAAACAGAAAAGAATAATTAATTAAATATTTGCAATAGAATATAAAACCATACTGTAACATACAGCACAAAGTCCGAGATCTGGAATAGTCTAAAATCCGGACTTCAAAGCCACCACCAACTTTTTTTTGGGGGGGGGATGCTTTACACATGCACATTTCATTCCTCCCCCCACGCACATAATAAAACATGTGGAGAGTCCTGACTCTTAATTTCTTCTTCTTCAATGGCCAAACAGCCCAGGATGGGCCCTTGCCTTCCTCAGAATCGCATTCCAAGCTCTTCTATCCCTGGCCATGGACATCCAATTAGTTATTTTTAAAACTCTTAAGTCTGTTTCCAAACAGTCGAGCCACCTAAGTTTAGGTCTCCCTCTTTTCCGGGTGCGGAATGGTCTGGCCGAGATCTTTTTATTTACTCAATTTTCATCCATTCTGCACAGGTGTCCTGCACATTTAATTCTCTGAATCCTTATATATTTTTCTATATCAATTATTTAAAGGATTTATAGAGTTCAGAGTTAGTTCTTCTTCTCCAGATATTGTTACATTTTATGCCACCAAAAATACTTCTAAAAATTTTTCTTTCAAAGACAGAAGTGATACTTTTAGCTTTTTCTGTCACTGCCCAGGTCTCAGCAGAGTATGTAAGAATGGATCTGACAAGCTTTTGTAAATTAAAATCTTTGTTTTTTGCTAGTGAAGTTAGACTTCAAGTATTTTTTTTTAGACTGAAAAAACATCGGTTAGCATCTGTAACTCTACTATGGATCTCAGGCATTACATCATTGAGAGTATTAACTTCTGATCCTAAATATTTAAATTTGCTAACAGTTTCAAATTTGTAATTCCCAATTTCAAAATAGGGGCTGCTGTTATTACGACATGACATGTATTTAGTTTTATCCTGGTTGATTGCTAGATGCACTTTGCTGGATGAGAAGAGACTACAGATGTAAGAGATGTAAAAGCTTCTCTAAGTGACTCGGGAGTGCGTGCGACTATGTCAATATCATCAGTAAACGCAAAAATCTGAACAGACTTGTTAAAGATAGTTCCACGAGTATTAATTTGGGAGTCTTTTACAATTTTTTGTACGGTAAGGTTAAAAAGCAAGCAGGCCAGTGAATCACCCTGTCTGAGCCCATTCGAAACAACAATGGGCTCAAAAAGATTATTCTGGATTTTAACCCTAAGTTTTGTCTCAGTAAGAGTAATGGTGGCCAAATTTATAAGTTTTTCAGGCATTGCAAATTCTCTCATAGCTTCAATTAAATATTTTCTGTTTACTGAATAGTAGGCAGTCTTAAAATGAACAAAAAGGTGGTGCATTGCAATGCCATATTCATTAATTTTCTCCAAAATTTGCCTAATGTTAAAGATTTGTTCTGCTATGGATCTTTCTTTGCTGAAACCACATAGGTAATCACCTACAATATTTTCTGCATAAATTACTAGTCTACTAAAAAGTATATTGGAAAATAGTTTGTAGAAAACACAAAGGAGACTGATTCCCCTGTAGTTGGTACATTCCTAAATGTCTCCTTTTTTGTGTATAGGACAGATGATGCTCAGTTTCCAATTTCCGGGTAAAACTTCTTGGTTCCAAACTGATTCGGCGAGGTAGTGTATTTCCTCAATGTTTTGACCTGCAGCCCTTTTAATAAATTCTGAAGTAATCAAATCAGGGCCTGGGGCCTTGTTATTTTTTAGCTAATTCCTTCTCTAACTTCTGTCAAAGATGGTGGCGGGATAATATCGGTGTTTATAGAGGTAGTTGGGTAGGTTGAAGACTCATCACGCATATGGTCATTCAACAAGTTGCTAAAGTGCTCACTCCACCTGTGGAGTACCTCTTTTCTATCATTTAGGATGATGTTGTTTTTGTCTCTACAGGCAGTAATTCTAGGCTTAAAATCTTGTGTCCAAGATTAATTTCACGATAGAAAGCACGGCATTCATTGGACCTCCTCAGACGTTCAACCTCCGTAAATAGGTCGTCATGGATAAGTCTTTTCTCAAGCCGATTTTTCTCATAGGTTTAACGCATGCGCATTTAATCCCCCCCCGCGCACATAATAAAACATCTGGAGAGTTCCGATTCTTAATTTCACTTTGGCATAAACAAAATACCTCGTTATAGAAGAAACAGTCATTTTAGCATAAATTTGTATGATCAATAAATAATTTGGCTAATTTGGCTCTGTAGCTGCGTATCTGCTTCACATACTACATCTCAAATCGAAACAATCCTCATAGAAACATCCTTGATTTTGCATCTACTAATATTTTATATCCCTGACGCAAATCTGGCGAATCATTATTTATTATATTTTGCTTTCATCATCGTATGTTTATCAAGACATGACAACTTGAGTAATGACTCATGTAACGACACGCCTAAACAATTTTTTGTATTAGTAATTGAATAACAAAGAGTATGGTACTCTTTTATGTTGACATTATGCTTGGTGAAGATTACGGATTTAAGTTAAATGTGTTAAGAAATGTTGAAAGGAAAACTTTAAAAAAT